CAGTGCTGGGAAATGGGCGGATGAGGCTGAACTTGTCTCAGTGCTACTTCCACTGAGAGACAGATGACGAGCCTACCCTCCAACGAACAGGCTGCTGCTGAAAGTTTCCTTTTCACATGCAAAGATACATCAGTAGACAGTTTATGGAGGAACATTATTTCACGGTCACGTGCCATTGTTAATTCCCTGAATAGTTAACGAGCACTCACTGTCTGCCAGGCGCTCATGTAGGTGACACAGACACGGCAATGCACAAGGTGACAATGCGCATGCCGCGTTCCAGTACGAGGAACAGGCATAAAACGTCAGGCAGACGTGGGCTAAGGGGTGAAAGCCCAACAAGGTGATGGTGGGTATTTTAAATGGGGTAGTTGGGGAGGACCTCTGGGACATCTGACGGTCTGTACGAATGAAGAGAGAGCAAGCAAGTCAGAATCCTGGAGAGGAACATTCTAGGGACAGGAAGCTGTAACTGCAGCAGTTGTAAAACAGCAACGTGTGACATGTACAGGGAACAGCAAGGTCAACGCAGCAGGAGCAGAGTGAGCCCCAGTGACTGAGGCGGATGGACACTGAGCAGATCAAGTAGGCCCTTGGGGTCAAAGTAAAAACTTTGGGTTTGAGGAAGCCACTGGGGAATGTGGAGCAGGGGAGCATCACGGTCTGACTGAGGCCTCAGAAGGATCATTCCATTCCTAGGTGGGGGGGGGGGAAAGACTAATAGATGGCAAAACTAGAAGCAAGCAGATGGTTGGTGTCTCAAACAGCCGGGCGTCTGATTCCGGCTTAGGTCACGATCTTGCTGTTTGTGAGTTCAAGCCCCACATCACGCTCTTATGCTGACAGCTCAGAGCCTGAAGTCGGCTTCAGGGAGATTCTGTATCTCCCTTGCTCTCTGCCCCTCCTCCCACTCATCTCTGTCTTTCTCTCTCTCTCTAAAATAAATAAATATAAAAAAAATTTTTAAAGAAACTTCCACAATAGTCTAGATGAGATGACACTGGCTTAGAGCAGTGATGAAATGTGGATTCTAATCCTACAGGATTCGGTAATGGATGGAATGTGGAGACAGAGAGAAAGCTAGGAATCCAGCAAAGAGGACTCTCGAGTGGTGGTGCCATTTGCTGAAGTGGGGAACAGTAGGAGTGGGGCAGGTTTAGGACTAGGTGCCTAGAGTGGGGGAATCAATACTTCACTTTTGGTCACGTTAAGTTCAAGATGCCTATTAGACATCCAAATAGAAATGCCGAGGAGACAGCAGAATGTAGTAGTCTAAAGTTCAGAGGTACTATTGGAGCTAAAGATAAAACTTCCAAGGTCATCACCATACATGATATTAAGTTATCAAACGAAAGAGATCCCTGGCAAGTGTAGACAGATTAAAAAAAAAAAAAGTTAGAAGACTGAGCCTTGGCCACGCATTAGGATATTAAACGGCATTTCTGTTGATTGATAAAAGGTTTCAAGAGACAGAACACCATTATTTTTTAATTAAAAAAATACATCATGTAGAGGCACTGGGTGGCTCAGTCGGTTAAGCTCAGGTCATCTCATGGTTCAAGAGTTCGACCCCCACCTGGGGCCCTGCACTGACCATGCCAGAGCCTGCTTGGGGTTCTCTCTCCACCCATTGCCCACTCGCTCGCGCTCTCTGCCCATCCCCCACTCACTCACACTCTCTCTCTCTCAAAATAAACAAATTTTAAAACTTAAAAAAAATACATCAAGTAAACAAACAAACAAACAAACAAAACCAGACAGTTGAGAGAGTTTTACATCAAACCACTTTCCAAGGAATGGGGGCCTTGGTCGCATCTATACTACGGTATTTAAAGGAGCTCCAGATTTAAAGGAACATACTGTAGTGGGAAGATCAGGGAACCATGTAACTGAGGACCTGGGAGTCTTAGTTCTTGGTCCCTCCCCATCATTTGATCCTGTGTAAATCGTTCCACCTCCCTGGGTACACATTTCCTCATGAAGACGATAAAACCAGCCTTCCTCACACACCCTCAAAGGAGAGGCAAGAGTGGAGAGACCTCTGCCTATTAAAACACATATGCAAACATAATATTATAACATTTTAAGATATAAATCAATCTTTTCCTAAAAAAGTCACTAGACAGCCATCCACCTTCAGATGCCTGGGAAAAATGGATCCATGCAAATAAGACAACTATAGGTTACATTTTCCCCCCTATAGGTTAAACTGTAATCCCTGGCCTTAGACCACTGGTGGTCTGCAAAGGTTGACAAGATCACAAGTGCCAAGTTATATAACTGTGTAAATGCTCCCGACAGAACAATCATACTTGGGTTTTGAGTAAGAATAATTTATCCATGGGTTTTTTTGAAGCAAAAAATAACCACAAAAATAGTAGCATTTTCCCCAATAATTCTGGTAAGAGAGAAGTGTGGATGTGTGTGTGTGATGGTAAGCAGTCGTAAATACAAGAGTTAGACCAGGATTTTTATTTTGACAAGCAAAGTCTGAAAAATTTAAGGATCTGCTGTAGAAATTATGACAGAATTTGGTATATGCCCATAGCCTAATACATCTGCATGAAAAACAATGACAAATTTGGTAAAACTCTGCCATTATCAAATATACCTTTATTAGAATTTAAATGCCACTATGAAAGAAATTCCTCTCCTTTTCTGGTCTCCTTCCTGCCCCTATCTCCGCTGCTATATTATGCCCCCCAAAATTGATAAGTAAACTTCTTAGAACTTTAGAAAAACAGCCTTGGACTTGAGCCATAACCACTGAATCCTATAAATGCTTGGCGGCACACCCCACGGAGTCTTTCTTAATCCCAGCTACGTGAGCCAACTCACCAACAGTCAGGGTACAGAAACTGCCTTCAGCTTCCTGTAAACCCCTGGTCCACACCTAAAAATTTCACCTTAAAAGTCCTTAAACGAAAAGCACTGCAGAATGACATCCTATTACCAGCATCGCTGCTACCTGATTTCACGTTTCACAAACGGGGCACAATAAACATAGAAGAACATCAGGCCAAACTTAATAAAATCTTCAGGAAGCCATATGTTCAGCACATGTGTGCTCTCAGCCCTCCAATCCCCACCCTCCTGCCTGGCCAAGCCCGGGGAAAGCCCGCAATCTCCACCCTCTCCCACTACCAGCATTCAAACCAGCCAACCAACCAACCAACCAAAAGGGGCAAGCAGGCTTTGTCCCCCGCTCACGTCCCCCCGCAGGTGTCTCCTCTCCGCCCGTCAACGCCCTCAGAATTCTCTCCCTCTCATATGCCAGCCAGCCCGCCCCCTTCCCAGCGGACAGTTCCAACGACCGCTTGTCCCCACCCCGCAGTCCCCGAGCTCGCCGAACCTGTCCGCAAGGCCCCGGCCGGAGAACCTCAAGGCTCCCGCCCCCCATCCAGGTGAGGCCCACTCCCCGCAGCTCGACAAACCCCCGACTGCAAGCACTGCCCCATCCGGGTCCCCCCCCCCCAAAGCCGGGGGAGGGGCGCCCTCCCCAGCGGGGTCTCCGAGCTCGGGAAGCGCCTGCGGGGCGCGCGGGGCGGACTCCTCCGCCAGGGCCAGGTTCGGGCGCCGAGCACCGACGTGGCCCCGGGAGCGTGCGCGTGGTGGGGCCGGGCCCCCGGCGTCCCCTCCAGGCTGGCGGGTGGCGAGGGAAGGAGACCCGACTGGGCGGGGAGCCGCTCACCTCCCTCAGCGTGACCGCGGCTCCGCCCGGCTCCGGCTCCGTGCGGCCACTCCTCGGCGTCCCGCGCCAGCTCCGAATATATACCCTCATCCGGGGGGCCGGGGCGGCGGGGCGGGCCGCGAGCTGGCCCCGGGGAGCGCGGCCCCGGCCACCCCGCCCCTCTCTCGCAGCGACGAGTGGCTGCCGGCGCCGGGAGGAGCCGCCACCGCCCGCCCGGACACGTCAGCGCCGCGAGCGCCGGCCTTGACGCCGGCGCCGGGGGGCGGGGCCTGGCCGGAGGCGGGGCCTTCGCGTCAGCATTCCCTGGCCCAATGGGGACAGCGCTGGGAACCCGGTCCGCAGGCAGCCTCGCCCCTCGGCGCGCAGCGGGCGGGGAGAGGTGTGCGCAGCGTCAGCTGTGGGACGTGACCGGAGCCCCGGGGCTGTCGCTCACACCCTGCTCTGAGCGCCCTGGCGTCACCGGCTGGTCCCGCGAGGCAACAGCCCGCGGCTCCTGGTCCTCGCCTGGCCCTGGCTCGGCCGCACCCCGTAAGCAGAAGCGGATCGCGGAGTTGGGCGGAGAGCGGTGTCATCCAGCAGCTGGTGGATTTCCGACCGCCCGTGCGGCGGGTTGCGAAATGCGGACGTCGCTCCGCGCGGACCCTGGAGGGCGGACCTGGGGCACCCTCCGACCTTGGGCTGGCCTTGTTTCGTCTCGGGTTCGCCGGATGCCCGGAAGGGCCCCGACTGGCCTTCTGCTTTATGGCATTTTAGGTCCCCAGCGCGGGAAGCCAGGCCCGCTTACTTTTGCACAGTCACGAAAAGAGAGGACTTAGGTAATGAAAAGCGCGCTAATGAGAATGAGCCCAGGCGTCCGTTTTGTGTGATGGTGCACTTAACCTTCTCAGTATTCGACACGAAACTGTTGGTTGCTGGATGACCTTCATGACCATTGCACGGCCGCCGTTTATAATTGCCTGTTGCATACCGTCAGTCCTGTTACATACCTGATGTGGGTGTACACATAGCAGTTTATATGCTCAGCCCTGGGCTCCTAAAAGCTGCATTTACATTTTGAGCTGCATTGCGCTTTGCACGGTGTTGCAAGAAGACCAAATGTTGAGAATAAAAAAAAAAAAACAAAACAAAAAAACAGATTTAACATAGCACCTTACATAAAGAATATCAGGCATTCGGGTGCCTTTCTTCTACCTTATCAAGTACCAGGGTCTTTTCATTAACTTTGTCGTTTGCACAATCACCCACCGCTTTAAGTAACTGAAAAAAGTAATGCTGGTAGATTCATATTTAGGAGCTAGAATATTCTCCATTTTTCATGATCCCAGAATGTCATCCATTTAATTGAAAGATTTATAGTATAGTCGTTAAGAGCAGGGGATCTGAAGACAGAATTCCAGCTTTTTTATTGAGTGTGATCTTTGGCAAGTTCATTAACTCATGCATCAATTTTCTCACCTATAAAATAGAAACAATAATAGAAATGCCCTTAGGGTTGTTTTAAGGATTGAACCAGTGAATACAAGCAAAGAGTATAGAACAGAGTGAATGAACACTAATAAACATCAGTGATTGTTATTTGAGTGCTTACTCTATGTCAGTTGCTAGTTCTAGGTCCTGGATACCTTTCCATAGTATCACCATTGCATCTTGTTATTTGGATTCCCAGTACCATAAGGAACATTTCTCTCAAATCCTTCATAACTGAGAAGAACAAATTCACTCCCATTAATACGCTCAGGTTCCACTTAAAGACACCTAGAAGCCTGCCCACAATGACGTAACTGAATATAGATAGCATTGTGACCTTAAATGAAAGGAAGAGAATTTGCACAGTTGCTTTCTAAAAATATACTAATTGTCAGGCGCCTGGGTGGCTCAGTGTTTTGAGCATCAGACTTCGGCTCAGGTCATGATCTAGTGGGTGGTGAGTTCAAACCCCACGTCAGGCTCTGTGCTGACAGCTCAAATATAAACAAACATTAAAAAAACATTAAAAATAAACATTAAAAAAATTAAAAAATATACTAATTGTTACTCTCTCATGTTTCTACTCCCTGACAAATACAGGAGAGTTTAGAAAAATGCAAACTGGGAGATGCAGATTCAAAATCACAGTTCAGGGGCGTCTGGGTGGCTCCGTCGGTTAAACATCCGACTTCGGCTTGGGTCATGATCTCACGATCTCACGGTCTCACGGTCCGTGAATTCGAGCCCCAAGTCAGGCTCTGTGCTGACAGCTCAGAGCCTGGATCCTGCTTGGGATCCTGTGTCTCCCTATCTCTCTGCCCCTCCCCAGTTCGCACTCTGTCTCTATCTCTCACTCTCAAAAATAAATAAACGTTTAATATATATATATATGATATATATATCACATATATATGTATCATATATATATATATATCACACAACCTCAGAGGCTATGTGTCAGCTTAACAACTCTTAACCTCAATTTTCTGCTTATAAAATGAGGATAATACCTACTTCGCATGGGTGTAGTACAAATTAAATGAGAAAGAATCTAAGAGTGTCTGGAGTATGACGGGCATTCTATACATCTTTGATGAATGAATGAATAAAGAGCAAAATCATTATTAAAGAGTCCTTTAAATATGAAAGGTAGCATTGGGGCCCAGCACAGTGTTTTCAATGAACTATTATAAAATCAAATTTTTACTTTTACCCTTTCTGCTCAATTTTTTTCCTACTTACTATGCATAAGAAGGTTCTTAATCTCATCTCGCCAGATAAACATCCAGAAACTTGTTACTCTGAAGAGCTATTTCTGTCCTTTAAGGTGTTTTTTATATGCAGCTGATCCTTGAACAAAGAGGTGGTAAGGGGCACCAACATCTCAGGCAGCCGAAATCCTCATATAACTTTGAGTCCCCAGAAACTTAACTAATTCAAGGTTCAACTGTACATGGTCATTTAGGAGACAATAGCACCCAAATTAAAAAATTCAGAAGGGCATACAAAAGAAGGTCTTATGTTTGGGTCTTTTAGGGACAATGGGATTATAGTACTTTTTATATTCTTTTGGATGCTTTTTTTTTCTAAAATGTTCCCCAAATTTCTAAATTTTTTCTAACTTTTTTTTTAAACCTCTAAAGTGAAAAGTATTTGATAATTAGAAGAGTATATATTTCTTTTAATTTCAGAAAAGCAGGTATGCTGGGGCTCCTAGGTGGCTCAGTCAGTTAAGTGTCTGACTTCAGCCCAGGTCATGATCTCGCGGTTTGTGGGATCGAGCCCCGTGTCAGGTTCCATGCTGACAGCTCAGAGCCTGGAGCCTGCCTCAGATTCTGTGTCTCCCAGTTTCTCTGCCCCTCCCCTGCTCACACTCTGTCTCTCTCTGTCTCTTGATAATAAATAAATGTTTTAAAAAAAATTTTTTTTAAAGAAAAAAGCAGGTATGCTACTTAACAACTAAAAGAACCCGCTTGTTTTTCACGCAATTGTGTGGGACATGAGCCCACCTGTCCACACTTTCCTGTGTTGTACAACCAAGGACGAGCCACCCAGATTTTTCAAACAGCAGACTGGGTTAGTGGGGCGCCTCCAAAGGTGTCCTCCCTTCATTGCCCTGAATGCGAGGGCCTCAGCTAGGTCACTGAACTTCCAAAAGGACCCAGGTTCCTTCTCAGAAGTACATCCAATCACCAGGAGAGTCTGGCTCAAAGAAAAGTTCCATAAAGTAGGTCTGAGCATTCATGAGATCACTGTTTCCAAGAGACAAACACATGGGCGGTGGAGGGATTAGGGCTTTGACTTTCCTGTTGACAGCTTCCTAGGACATGAGTACTTGTTGCCCCAGGAGATCATCCCGACTTACTTAGCTCACCACTCCTCCCAAGCCCTAACTTTTCTGTAGCACAGGGTGTGCTTCAAAATACTGTGAAATAACAGATACATCCTGTTCGATGACTTTTTTTTTTTTTTTTTTACTGAAAGTACAGCCCCTCAAAACCGACTGCAATCGAGGAAGTACGAAAATAACAAAGTGGAATGAGCTGGGGAGAAAGTAAACAAGAGGGTGTTGGTGTGCAATTAAGTATGGAGACGTACAGCCTCAGTATTCCACCTTAAGAAGGTCTGTATGATGCAGGAGAGTGGACTTGACATTCCCTTGCGGTGCTGTTGGCTAGAGATTATCCGGCCCACCTCCCTTAATTCACAGATAAGGAAACCAAATCTCCCAAAAGTGAAGTGGTTTCCCTAAGGACAGAATAGAATAAATAGGTAATTAAGAAGCAGAAGCAAGATTAGAAGTCAGCTGTCTATTGCTATGTAACGATACAAATGTCTCACTACCATTAGGGATCCTGGGTCAAATATTTAATGCCTACTTTGGGGGGCCCATTGGAGTGGATCTTTCTAATGCACAGTTGTACTATCCCCAGGGGAAATCCCTCAGAAACTTAGCCCGAAGTGGCTTCTGACCTACACTGAAACCAGAACCTTAACATAGTTTGTTCCAAATCTGCCCCCCACCCCGCCTATGGCTGCATGACCTTTAACACCACAGTTTCTCAGATGTGAAGGATTTTTTCAAAATGTGGCTTCTCAGCTCTACTGGTAAGGGCTGCATGTTTGGATCTACTGTGCATTTTGTCTCCCAGGTTTCTCAACTCACTATGCAGGACCCACAAAGGTCTATCACAAGTCATTAATGTTGGCGATGTCTCCGATCACCTATTCTTTCTTTAGGAATCGACAACAGATGAAATTTGCTTTATATTTTCCAGGTAAATAACGAAAAGATATGGGACATCGCCTCCAAGAAATCGCAGGCACAGCAACAAGTCCCTCCCCATTTTTTTTTGTTTGTTTGTTTGTTTTGTTCCAGGCTCCACAACTCCATCTGGCCTGTGTTACTTCGTGTTAATAGAAGAGAGACCCCGTATCTCAGTGAAAGTCTCTGAAAGTGCCAAATGGCTTGGTTTAGAAATGGAGTTACAAAAATATAGACTCAAAATTTACTTGGGTGGCACCTGGGTGGCTCAGTCGGTTGAGCGTCCGACTTCAGCTCAGGTCATGATCTCACGGTCCGTGAGTTCGAGCCCCGCATCCGGCTCTGTGCTGACAGCTCAGAGCCTGGAGCCTGCTTCGAGTTCTGTGTGTGTGACTCTCTCTCTCTCTGCCCCTCCCTGACTCATGCTCTCCCTCTCTCAAAAATAAGTAAACATTAAAAACAAAGTTAAAAAAAAAACTTGCTTGGGTTCTCTGACCTGCTGGGTAATTATTTCCTGTGTCATTGATTCACTGACTTTGTTTTTGACTTAACATAATAGAGAAAAGTATGGACTTGGAAGGCAGAGAGCATGAGTCTGAGTCCCGGCTCTCTAGTTACTTAGCTGAGAGGTCTTAGAGGCGTTCATTGATAATCTCTGTCCAGTCTCCTCCCATAATGGAGATAATAGTTGGGCCTACCTACTAGGGTTGCTGTGGGGATTAATATTTTTAAAGTGCTTAGAATAGTTTCTGACTCAGAATAAAAACTCTTAAGTTTAAAAAAAAAACACTATTTCCTGGGGTGCTTGGGTACCTCCGTCACGTAAGCATCTGACTCTTGATTTCATCTTGGGTAATGATCTCACAGTCATGAGATAGAACCCCATATCAAACTCCATGATGGGCTTGGAACCTGCTTGGGATTCTCTGTCTCTTGCTCTCTCTGCCTTTCTGCGCCTCCCAGCTCACTCCCTCTCTCAAAAAGATAATAAATAAATAAATAAATAAATAAATAAATAAATAAATACTGTTTCCTAAGTTTGGCTTACTGGGTATCAGGTATTGAGAATTGGACGGTGTGGCAGACAGACTCTAAGGTGACACCCATGATTCCTGGCTCCTGGATTGTATAATCCCTTCCCCTTGAGCATGGGAAGGACCTGTGACTTGCTTCTAACTAACCAAGGAGAAGGTGATGGATGTCACTCCCGTGAATACACTATGCTATATGACAAAAGTAATGGGTCCCATAACTGGGTTACATTAAGACTTCTTGCTACAGGACTCAGTTTCACTCTTTGGCTGGGCCTTAATGCAACAAAATGTCATGAAGCGAACTGCCTACAGAGAGGCCCATGTGGCAGGAAACTTCACACATCTTCCAGGGCTGACAGTGGCCTTGAACTGGCAAAAATAGAGGCAAATAACCCCCCTGGAGTTTTCAGTCCTACAAGGAAATAAATTCTGCCACGACCTGAGTGTTGGAAGTGGATTCCATCCCAATCTAGCCTCCGGATGAGAATGCGGCCCAGCTGATACCTTGAGTGCAGTCCCATGAGCCCTGGACGCAGAAAACCCACCTAAGCCCCGGCTGGTATTCTGACTGCAGCTTTTTGAGAGACCCTGAACCAGAATAGGTTGGAGAAAAATGTGCGACCATTCTGACTGGTCTCACTTTAAATTCATAACCACTATGCCAATACTAGACACTATCTGCCCTTGTCCACTCATGTTGCCTTTCTTCTAGGTGACTATTTCACACACGTTGTCTCTCAGAACTCTCTGATTACCTTGTACCCCACATTCACTCTTAGCTCTGATATCCTTGCTTCTCCTCGTTGAGAAAACAGAGAACTTGCACAAGCCCTTGCCACCCCATCCATTCATCTCCCTCTACTATGCCCATATTTTTATTTTATCTCCAAGCATTGGGAATAAACAGTCCGTGGTCCCGTCCCCCACCTATGAGCCACAGCCCATCTCCTCCTGCCGACCCAAGGATATCACTCCAGGATGTGGCTTGCTAATAGGTATCTCAAAATTAACATGTCTAACTCAACTTCTGCTCTATTCCTATTATTCCTACACCACTCCCTCTCCCTCCAAAAAACCCAATTTCTTTCAATCTTCCTTATCACTATAGTAATTCCATGGTCATGGTTGCTCAGGCCAAAAACCTGAGATTCATCCTTGGCACCTTCTCTCATCTGGGATCTGATCCACATAGATCCTATGGGCTCTGTCTTCAGCGTGGACACAGAATCCCACCAGTTCTGCCCATCACCTTCTCCCATTCTGGTCCAGTCACCATCACTGGCTTACCTGGATCGTGGCAGTAGCCGCCTCCCAGCAGGCCTCTTTGCTTGTACCCTTGCCCCTCTTCAGGCCGTTCTCAACGGAGTAGCCAGAATGATCTCTGCTCAAAGCCCTCCCATGGCTTCCCATGTCAGTTGGAATAAAACGCAACATGGTCAAACAACCCACAAAGTCTGACAGGGTCTCCCCTACACACACTTTTCTCCTGACCTTTTCCCTTTGTGTTCTCCATATCCTGCCCTGGTTTCCCAGACTCTAGTCACACTGGAGCTTAGAATCGGTCCCGAGAGTGGTGGGAAGTTTCTGATGAGTTCTCTAAGCCATCTTCTCTGCCTGTAGAGTGGGGCAAGAGATAGAAGTTGTCAAAGGCCTGCGCACCAGGCTCTTATGTTATACGGTTGTTGTGATGAGCCTTGCTGACTCCCCAGCAAGGGCACAAAGGACCCCTTTGCACAGCTGGTATTGCTTGAAACTCCTTTCTTATTTTCCTTTTTGTAGTGAAAAAAAAAAAAAGTAAAAGCAGAAAATTCAAATACTAGAAATTTTTAGTATTTTTAGAAGTCTTTCTTTTTTAAAATGTTTTAAATGTTTATTTACTTGAGAGAGAGAGAGAGAGTGCACGCAAGTGAGGGAGGGGCTGGGAGATAGAGAGAGGAAGACACAGAATGGGAAACAGTCTCCAGGCTCTGAGCTGTCAGCACAGAGCCTGACACAGGACTCGAACTCAGAAATGGCAAGATCATGACCTAGGCCAAAGTCAGACGCTTAACCGACTGAGGCAACCAGGTGCCCCCAGAAGCTTTTTCTTAATTTTATTGCACAAGTATTGCAAACATTAAAATTCAGAATGCATAAAAGAGAGAAGGCAGGAGAGGAGGGAGGACAGTCAGGAGGAAGGAAAGCAGCGGAGGGAAGAGGGAGAGACAGAGAGGAAGGAAGGAAGACAACGGTAGAGAGAAAAGGAAATGAAAATTACCCCAAGGGCCTGCCACATAAAACAGTTCCTATTCACAATTATGGTTCTAAGTACTATTTATTTGTTTATTTATTTATTTATTCATTTAGCGTGCATCAGTGGGGGAGGGGCAGAGAGAGAGGGAGAGTCCCAAGCAGGCCCCGTGCTGTCAGTGCAGAGCCTGACTCAGGGCTTGATCCCACAAACCATGAGATCATGGGTCGGTTACTGACGCCCCTGTGGTTCTCAGTACGTCTTAAACTACCACCACCCTCACCCTGCCCAGGAGACTGGGAAGGGCAGGGCCTTCTCAGAAAGTCGGATTTCATGTGGCCCATCACACCCTGCCCTAGGTGAGCTCACGTCTCACCGCCAAGTTTTAGAACAGACACCCTGGAGTTTGCTTGCAAACCCTTGACTCTTGTGGCATTTCACTGGAGTAACTTCTGACTAAGCATGTCTTGGCCATAAGGCTGCCATTAAAAGAGATTCTTTTCTTGATAGGAAAAGAGTAAATACAGTTGGGCCGTATTTTCTGCAGTCATAATGAATAAGCGATAAAATATAAACAGGTCACCCAAGAATAGAACAAATCCTTTCCACTCTTGCACTCGCAAACATCCATCGTTAAATGACATCGTGATACTGTTCTGCTGATATCCGAGTGTTTTTATTTTTAAGTTTATTTTATTTTTTTTGAGAGGGAGAGTGTGCATGCAAGTGTGCACAAGTGGGGAGGGGCAGAGAGAGAATCCCAAGCAGGCTCTGCACTGTCAGCACAGAGCCCGATGCGGGGCTCGAACTCACAAACGGTGAGATCATGACCTGAGCGGAAATCAAGAGTCCAACGCTCAACCGACTGAGTCACCCAGGCAACCCCCGTTTGTGTTTTTTAAAGGCTCATGTGTCCTTTTATTTACGTGTCACTGAATATACTTTTCTATTAATATTAGGTTTTATCAGGTTCTGTTACCACTATTATTTTTTAAAGTTGTGATATTTTGTCTGGAGCTCCCTTTTTATTAAATAACTGTTTAAAGACTGTTGTTTATTGTTAGCTACAAAAGACAGGTTTAGGCCACAATTTAGTACACAGAAATAGTAATTTGCTAAAAAGTAATTTAGAAAAATGAAAATATAAATGGAACTTAGCAAATGGCAGTTGGTGACTCACATGATTATAGTTGGTTTCCATTGTTTTTAGGATGAAGAAAGCAAGCATCAAATTAACACAAGAATGTAAATTATTTCCAATTATGCACTTGAAAGTGTTCTGACCACAAAAATTAAGAAGATTTTCTGAAAATTATTTTGGCCATTTTTTTTCATCACCCATTTTCTTCACAGTCCAATAAAAGCATCTATGAACTATGTGCTAAACATGAGTTACTGTTATAAGATGGGCAGATTTCCAGGGGCTCCGGGGTTGGTCGGTTAAGCATCCGACTTTAGCTCAGGTCATGATCTCACAGTTCGTGGGTTCGAGCCCTGCGTCGGGGTCAGTGCTGACAGCTGGGAGCCTGGAGCTGCTTCGGATTCTGTGTCTCCCTCTCTCTCTGCCCCTCCCCCACTCACGCTGTCTCTCTCTCTCTCTCTCTCTCTCTTTCTCTCTCTCTGTCTCTTTCTCAAAGATAAACATTAAAAAAAAAGGGGGGGGGCAGATTTCCAGAATTTCAATATTAAACAAATGGACTTGACATTTGCTAAGCACAGTGAAGGACATTTTGGACAAATTAAGTCCAAAATTTGCTTAAATGATGTATGCAAATCCTTTAGGAATTTGTAAACTAAACTATAGATAAATTTCCATTATTTCTTAAGTGCTTAGAAACATGAAGTGACTTTTTCCTGTGGATTCTCCCACCCCACGTCATCTTCTTACAGCCTGAAGTACGTCTTTTCTACTTCTTGAAGCAGGCCAGCTAGCAACAGTTTCTCTAAGACTTTTTTTTTTTAACTGGGAATATGTTTATGTTTTTACTTTTATTTTTTTCAATGTTTATTTATATTTGAGAGAGAGCGAGAGCGAGCACACGTGGAGGAGGGGCAGAGAGAGACGGAGAGAGAAGGAGGGAGAATTCCAGGCAAGCTCTGCACCACCAGCATAGAGTCTCACGCGGGGCTGGAACCCGTGGGTTGTGAGATCATGACCTGAGCCAAAGCTAAGAGTCGGTCGCTCACCCGACTGAGCCACCCAGGCGCCCCTATCTGGGGATATTTTTTTTTAATATGAAATTTATTGTCGAATCGGTTTCCATACCACACCCAGTGCTCATCCCCACAGGTGCCCTCCTCCATGCGCATCACCCACCCTCCCCTCCCTCCCACCCCCCATCAACCCTCAGTTTTTTCTCAGTTTTTAAGAGTTTCCTACTATAGATGCTGGAGAGGATGTGGAGAAACGGGAACCCTCTTGCACTGTTGGTGGGAATGCAAATTGGTGCAGCCACTCTGGAAAACAGTGTGGAGGTTCCTCAAAAAATTAAAAATAGACCTACCCTAGGACCCAGCAATAGCACTGCTAGGAATTCACCCAAGGGATACAGGAATGCTGATGCATAGGGGCATGTGTACCCCTGTGTTTATAGCAGCACTTTCAACAATAGCCAAATTATGGAAAGAGCCTAAATGTCCATCAACTGATGAATGGATAAAGAAATTGTGGTTTATATACACAATGGAATACTACATGGCAATGAGAAAGAATGAAATATGGCCTTTTGTAGCAACATGGATGGAACTGGAGAGTGTTATGCTAAGTGAAATAAGCCATACAGAGAAAGACAGATACCCTAAGTGTTCACTCTTATGTGGATCCTGAGAAACTTAACAGAAACCCATGGGGGGAGGGGAAGGAAAAAAAAAAAAGAGGTTAGAGTGGGAGAGAGCCAAAGCATAAGAGACTCTGAAAAACTGAGAACAAACTGAGGGTAGATGGGGGGAGGGAGGGAGGGGAGGGTGGCTAATGGGTATTGAGGAGGGCACCTTTTGGGATGAGCACTGGGTGTTGTATGGAAACCAATTTGACAATAGATTTCATATATTGGAGAAAAAAAAAGAGTCTCCTATGGTTTGGCTCTCTCCCTCTCCAACTTTTTTTTTTCTCCTTCCCCTCCCCCATGGGTTTCTGTTAAGTTTCTCAAGATCCACATAAGAGTGAAACGAAGCAGGCTCCAGGCTCTGAGCTGTCAGCACAGAGCCCGGCGCAGGGCTCGAACTCATGAACCGTGAGATCATGACCTGAGCGAAGTTGGACGCTTAACCGACTGAGCCACCCAGGCGCCCAAAACCACAATTTCTTTATCCATTCATCAGTCGATGGACATTTAGGCTCTTTCCATAATTTGGCTATTGTTGAAAGTGCTGCTATAAACACTGGGGTACAAGTGCCCCTATACATCAGCACTCCTGTATCCCTTGGGTAAATTCCTAGCAGTGCTATTGCTGGGTCATAGGATAGATCTATTTTTAATTTTTTGAGGAACCTCCACACTGTTTTCCAGAGTGGCTGCACCAGCCAGGCTTCTCAAAAAGAAAAGGGAGATGACCCAAATAGATAAAATCATGAATGAAAACAGGATTATTACAACCAATCCCTCAGAAATACAAGCAATTACCAGGGAATACAATGAAACATTATATGCCAACAAACTGGACAACCTGGAAGAAATGGACACATTCCCAAACACCCACACACTTCCAAAACTTAAACAGGAAGAAATAGAAAACTTGAACAAACCCATAACCAGGGAAGAAATTGAATCGGTGATCAAAAATCTCCCAACAAATAAGAGTCCAGGACCAGATGGCTTCCCTGGGGAATTCTACCAGACATTCAAAGCAGAGATAATACTTATCCTTCTCAAGCTGTTCCAAAAAATAGAAGGGGAAGGAAAACTTCCAGACTCATTCTATGAAGCCAGCATTACTTTGCTTCCTAAACCAGACAGAGACTCAGCAAAAAAGAGAACTACAGGCCAATATCCCTGATGAAAATGGATGCAAAAATTCTCAATAAGATACTAGCAAATTGAATTCAACAACATATAAAAAGAATTATACACCACGATCAGGTGGGATTCACGCCTGGGCTGCAAGGTTGGTCCAACATTTGCAAATCAATGAATGTGATACATCACATTAATAAAAGAAAAGAACCATATGATCCTGTCAATCGATGCAGAAAAAGCATTTGACAAAATTCAGCATCCTTTCTTAATTAAAACCCTCGAGAAAGTCGGTATAAAAGGAACATACTTAAACATCGTATCTGGGAATATTCTTAACGTGCCTTCATTTTCTGAGGTATAACCCTTGCAGCATAAGAAGGCCACCCATTTATGTCTGAGCAAATCTGCTAATTGTAGGGATAATGCCATTGGATGTGGGTTTCTCACTTTCCACCCAAAACGAAGCAGCTCCCTCCAGCCCTAAGGCTTTCATAGCCACCCGGCCTCAGTCACTGCAGAATCAGGAGGGCTGG